CCCGCCGTCGGGGCTCCTCGGCGGGACGGAGCGGGGCTGGCGGCTCCCCGGGGGCTGGGGGATGTCTCCAGCGGGGGTTGGGGGTGAGGGTCCCGAGCGGGGGTTAATGGGCTGCCCCAGCTGCGGCGGGGACCGGGATGCGGAGGGGATTGGGATGCGGAGGGGACCGGGATGCGGAGGGGGACCGGGCTGCGGAGGGGACCGGGCTGCGGCGGGAGGGTCCTGCCGGCGGGAGCTGTCGCCCCGCACGCTGCTCCTCTCCGCTGCCCGCGCCTTCTCCATGGCGGGTGACAGCGTGGCTTCCTGCGGGCTGATCCCCCCAGCCCCCCCGGAGCAGCCAGGCGGAGCAGGGCTCCTCAGGGGTGCTGCTGCGGGTCTGGGGGCTTAACCTGCTCCTTGCAGCCGGCAGGGCCAACCCCGGGGGTTAGCGGGGGGGGAGCCTGTCCCGCATCTCCCTGCGCTGTTTTTTTCTCGGCGCTGCCCTGGGAATGAAGAGCTGAGCACGTTTGTGCTGCCAGCCACCCTCTGGGTGTGCAGGGCCCGCGGCTGGCATCGGAAATCCTTGGAGAAATCCTTGGAGAAATCCAGCAGGGCTGGGGAAAGCAGCCAGACGTGTGCAGGCAGCGGCTGGGGAGGGTGCCCGTGATGGGGGACTTCTTGTTTCCTTGAAGCCCAGAGGGCTGTCCTGGGCTGGCACCCCTCCTGTGGCATATGCCAGCTCAGGAGGAGGTTTACCCAAGCAAAGGGCTGGTTCGCTGGTTATGGAGAAGCAGCCGAGCTGGTGACTGCCCCTGCGACCCTGGTAATCCCCCTCTGTGGAAAAGGGTCACAAAGTTGTCCCCGTGTCCCCTCCTGCTGATCCATACAGCCCCGGTGTGGGAGCTGCCCCTCTGCTTGGCTGGAGCGTGTTTCTGTTTCCCAACAAAGGGAGAAGGTGCGGAGCGTGTTTCTGTTTCCCAACAAAGGGAGCAGCCGGTGGGGAGAAGGTGCTGGTGGGCACGTGGCCTGGGTATGGGGTGCCAGCTGTGGGGCACTGGGAGCCACTTTCTTTGTGGCTCCTCTCACCCTGTGCCCATCTCCCAGAGCTTTTTGGGGACGGTGGCTGCTGCGAGTGAGGGGAGTGTGGGTGTTGCACGTTTAGGGCGATGGCAGCCCGGGGAATGTGCGGGCTGCTCGGTGAGCATCGGGGGCACAGGAGGGACGTGCACGGGGGGCCCATGCTTGGTGCCTGCCAAGGGTGTAGCACAAAAGGGGAAGGGCTTCGTCCCAGTGAGTCAGCCCAGCCGGGCTGGAGGGATGTGCCAGCAGTCAAGTTTGGGCCAGGGGATCTCCAGGCTGCCAGTTCAGTCTCCCAGTCTGCTGGGAGGCACTGGGATGTGCCCAGGGGCACATGTGGCAGGACCACACAGGGCACATGCAATGAGCCTGTTTCCCACCGTGGCCTCGTTGGGTTCATCCCTGGCAGTAGGGTGTGTGCAGCCCCATTGTGCCTCAAAAGGAGCTGCCACAGACTCTCCCCCACGAGTGTGGCAGGGACTCGGTGCCAACAGGTTGGCTGGTAGCAGGCACAACTCCTGTGGGCATCACTGCCTGCCCTGCTCCTACTGCCTGAAGGACACTGGGCTTCACGCTCCTACGGTCCCTTCTCTTGCAGCGGCTTTGAGCAGCTGAGCGCCACCCACGAGGGGACAAGATGTTTGGGAGAAAAATGACCAGTTTTGGGAAGAAGCTGATCCGCCGGCGCATGGTGGATCTGAGCTCTGAGGACACGCGTTTTGCTCGCTGCCTCTCCACGTTGGACCTCATAGCCCTGGGGGTCGGCAGCACGCTGGGGGCCGGCGTCTATGTCCTGGCTGGGGAGGTGGCCAAGGAGACTGCTGGTCCCTCCATCGTCCTCTGCTTCCTGGTGGCTGCTCTCTCATCGGTACTGGCTGGACTCTGCTATGCAGAGTTTGGGGCCCGCGTCCCCAAATCTGGCTCTGCCTACCTCTACAGCTACGTCACCGTCGGCGAAATCTGGGCTTTCACGACGGGCTGGAACCTCATCCTCTCTTACGTGATAGGTACGGGGCTGGGCAGGCCGCTGGCACGTGGGCTCCTTCCAGCACCGCGCTGGCAGCGTGGGGGGCTCGTGGGGGCAGCACGTGGTGCTGCAGGAGCAGGGTGTGGGGTGGGATCAGCAGGGAGGTGGGTGCTGGGGGTGGCTGGTGCCGCTCTGCCCTGGGCTCAGACTGATGCAGAGATTTGCCATCGAGCAGGCACGGCCAGCGTGGCTCGAGCCTGGAGCGCGACATTCGACAACATCATCGGCAACCATATCTCCACCTTCTTCATGAACAAGACCACAGGGTACCTGCCAGAGGTGTTGGCCGAGCACCCGGACTTCTTCGCCCTGGTTCTGGTCGGGCTGCTCACGGGTGAGTGCCTAGGAGCGGCTCTGTGGCACCGCGGGTGGTGGCACGGGAGCCCGGCGGGTCCCCCCTCACCCCTTCCATCCCCACAGCGCTGCTGGCCTTCGGCGTCAGCGAATCTGCTCTCGTGAACAACATCTTCACGATGGTGAACGTGCTGGTGCTGGTCTTTGTCGGCATCGCTGGCTTCGTGAAGGGAAACATCAAGAACTGGCAGCTCTCGGAGGAGGACTACCTCAACGGCTCGGACTCACACCTGACTCATGACAAAATGTGAGGAGAGCTAGGGTCTGGCACAGGGCTGGCACTGGCCCTCCTGTCCCTGCACCCCACGGCAGCTGCTCTCCTCCCTCCTTTCCAGGGAAAAAGAGTTCGGCTCGGGCGGGTTTGTCCCCTTTGGACTGGAAGGGATCCTGACCGGCGCCGCCACCTGTTTCTACGCCTTCGTGGGCTTCGACTGCATCGCCACCACAGGTACCGCCTGGGCCGAGGGAGGTGTGGGCATTTCCCCAGCCCAGCCCGGGGGCTGGCCGGGACCTGCCAGGGAAGATGCTCTGTGGTGTGGGAAACAGCCTGTCCCACCGCTCCTGGGAGGTTTTCCCACAGCGACTCTGTCCCCAGCACAAAAGGGCTCGTAGCCTGCCCTGCCCCAGGACAAAAGGGCTCCCTCCCGGCCCCGTGGAGCGGGAGCAGGGCTGCACCCTGCCTGCACAGGCAGCTCCCAGGGCAGCGGGGAGCCTTTCCGCTGCGGAGTCCAGGCTGCGACAGCCCTGGGAATTGCTAACGCTTCCCGGGTGTTTCCCAGCCTCCAGCAACGCTTTTCTAAATTGCTGAGTTCGTGCAGCGCTGGCTCTCTCTGGAGCCCTCCTAATTTCCTCTCATTCCCCCAGGAATCTACTTAGTGGGTGGCTGGTACAGGCTGTTCTGCCTGACCTCCCCTCCTGGCCTCCCCGCCCCCAGGGGCTGCCCGCTGGCCGCCTCCATCCCCTCTATGCCAGCCACCGAGCCCCTTGCTGGGATCGTGGTGCTGCAGCAGAGACTTGGCACAGGCTGGGGCAGAGGGCAGGGCGGCTGCGTGGCTGTGCCCACGGGGAACTGAGGATCTGCATTCAGCTGGGGGGCAGGAGCTGCTGGTGGGGGCAGAGGGGGGCTGTGAGCCCAGCCGCTGGGCAGCCACGTGCCTGGAAGCTGGGGCTGCAGCCCCACAGCTCTGCCTCTGCAGCAGCACCGCTGGGGACCACTCCTCTCCAATGGCACCCCCAGCCCCACGCTGCCATGGGTAGTCCTGTCCCCCAGGGCCAGCTGCCCCACGCAGTGCTGCGGAGCAGGGACGGACGCTGCCTTTTGTCTCCGCGCAGGGGAGGAAGCCAAGAATCCGCAGCGCTCAATCCCCATCGGCATCATCGTGTCCCTCTCCATCTGCTTCGTGGCTTATTGCTGGGTCTCCCTGGCCCTGACCCTCATGGTGCCCTACTTCCTCCTCAACAAGGAGAGCCCCCTGCCTGAGGCTTTCAAGGCAGTTGGCTGGGAGCCCGCCCGCTACGCCGTCGCCGTCGGCTCTCTCTGTGCCCTCTCCACCAGGTAGGACCGGCTCCATCCCTGACACCCCCCGGCGTGGTGCGGGGACCCGGCTGGGCTGGGGGTTTGCCCTGTCTGGCTGCTCTCCCAGCACGGAGCTGGTCCCGTCCCCGTCTGGCTGGTGGTGTTACCAGCTCGCCTGGCCAGCCCTGAGCCATCTCTCCCCACGGCAGCTTGCTAGGCTCCATGTTCCCCATGCCCCGCGTCATCTACGCCATGGCAGAGGATGGGCTGCTCTTCAAGTTCCTCTCCAAGATCAACAGCCGCACAAAGACCCCTCTGTCAGCCACCCTCATCTCGGGGCTCCTGGCAGGTAAGGCTCCCGGCTGCTGCCTCCCCCTCGGCCCTGTGGCGGTCCAGAGCTGTCCTCATGCTGTGTGTCCTTGTTGCAGGGATAATGGCCTTCCTCCTCGACCTGAAGGATCTGGTGGATCTCATGTCAGTCGGCACGCTGCTGGCCTACTCCCTGGTGGCGGTGTGCGTGCTTATCCTTCGGTGGGTGCCCCTTCTTGTTTGGCGGTGCCCGGGGTGGATGTGCCTCGCGTTGTGCCTTGTGGCCACAGCTCTGTCCCGGGGGGACGCGGCCGGGGGAGGCATCAAGCTCCCCAAGGTGGAGGCTGCTCGCCAGAGCCTGTGTGACGTCTCCGGGGACATCCACGGGGCTGCTGCCGGACCAGCATGCGGGGCCGGAGGAGCGGGAGGACTACCAGGGTGCTGCCCCACTGTCCCCCTGGGCAGGGAAGTTCCTCGGGCTGTGCTGCAGCTTGTTCCATCTGCTCAGGTACCAGTCTGGGCAGCTGAAATCCCCAAAGGCCACGGAAATGCTGGAGCTGAACAGGAATGAGGAGGAGAGGGTGATCACGAACCCGACCACCCCTAGTGACCAGCAGAAAGAGACGCTCTCCCTGGCCACCCTCTTCAACCCCCCCTCGGACACCCCCACCAAGCTCTCGGGGCGCATCGTCTACGTCTGTGCCTCGGTCATCGGTGAGTGAGCGTGAGCCCGCGGCCGATGCCCCCCTCCTGCCAGGGGCTGGAGCGTTTTGGCAGATCTCTGCTGAGCCGGGAAAGGATGGTGGGCTCTCTGGGTGGAGGAGAAGAGCCGGGCAGCGTGGGCTGCCAGCCAGCAGGCACGGGACCCGCTCTGCCCTGAGCAGGGTGCTGAGTGCAGGGCACGGCTGGGGTCTGGGGCGCACAGGGGCTGAGGGAGGACGTGGGAGCTCCCTGTGACAAGCCTGGCTTAGGCTGGGCACCCAGTGAGGGTGGTCCCTGGCCCCCTGAGAGTGCTTGGGCTCGGCCAGCGAGGTTTGATCCATCCATCAATGGCTTCATTGTGCAGCCAGGTCTGGTGCAGGCTCCCCTCGGCTTGCTGGGCTGGTGGGTTACCCCGGCAAAGCGCTTTCCTGAGCCTTTGGGGTGGGTGTCAGAGGCAGCACATGCTGGAACCCTTCTTGATTGAGAGGAGTTGGTGCCTCAGCCCAGCCACTGGTGAGGCTCAGGGTCCCAGGGAGGCCACGTGCTGTGCAGCCCCCTGACTGTCCCCTCTCTTGCAGCTGCACTGATCATGGTCATCTGCATAGTCCTGACCCACGGCATAGACGCACTGAAGAATGGCAGCGTGGGCTGGATCGTGGTCCTGGTGCTGCTCCTCGTGGCTCTGCTCATTCCCATCGTCATCATTTGGAGGCAGCCGCAGAGCAACGCGCGGTTGAACTTCAAAGTGAGTGCAGCCCCCGGCGGCTCAGTGTCTGCACCCGCACAGACCCCTGGTAGGGTCTGGGCCGTTGCAGGGTTTGCCAGGGCTTGCTGCCAGGCTGTCACCATCCAGGAGAGCCCAGGGTCCTGAAACGTGGCTCTCTGAGGTGCAGTCCCCAGGGTGGAAGTACTCTCTGGGCTGTGGCAGGGGTGGGATCCCTCCCTGGCCAGGAGCATCCTCGAGCCCAGCTGGGTGCTTCAAGGCACCTCTTGTCCCTCGCAGGTCCCTTTCCTCCCACTCCTGCCGGTCTTCAGCATCTTTGTTAATATCCTGCTGATGGTACAGCTGAGTGCCAGCACCTGGGTGCGGTTTGTCATCTGGATGGCCTTGGGTAGGTGTCCCGGGGAGGGTCCCTGGAGTGCTGTGCCCGCAGGGTCTGCCCCGGGGGGGCTGTTAACGCCGGCAGCACGCTGCCGCACATTTCATTGCCGAAACTCTCCTGCAGGTTTTGTGATTTACTTGGGCTACGGGATTTGGAACAGCGTGGAGGGGAAAAGAGCAGAGGAACCCTGTGTGACAGTAGAAAAGCCTCTGCACCACCCCGGACCGGACCTCAGCCCTGGGGCTGCTGCTGTCTGAGGGATCAGGCACCAGCGCTCCGTGGACCTCTGCCAGTAGTCGAGATCGTGATCCGCACAGTTCATCCATGCCCTCCCGCCCGGGGAGCGAATCCCAGAGCCAGGACACAGAGCTGGGCCCTGTGCTGAGCAGAGGCCACGGAGATGAGTCCCCGGGCCGGGTGGCACTGCTGGTGGCCTGGGGTTGATCTCTGCCATCCCCCCAGCCCCGCGGAGGGACAGTGACCCCAGCACGGCCCTCCTGCCGTGGGTGCTGCTGTCAGAAATGCTGCTTTCCCTGCGCACGGGGAGCCCCCACGTGATGGTGCAGCTGTATTTGTCCTGTCTGTTCATGTGGCCGTGGTCACCACCTCCTCTCTGTGCTTTCGAAGTGCTGGGGATGTACGCGGCAGCCGTGGCCGGAGCCCTGTGGCGAGGCTTGCGGCAGCCCCTTCTGGTGCTGCCAGTCGTCCGGTACTTGCTGGCAGCAGAGGGCTCAGCCGGCCAAACCCCCCCACGCTGAGCCCTGTGCTGCCCCAGTCATGCTGCTTGCGGGGAGCATCCCTCTCGGGTGTCCCTCAAGATGTCCACAGTGTAGCTGTACCCAGTGTCCCACCTTCTATGCCTTAGTATAATTGGTGTTTTAATGTTGGCTTTTATACCTATTAAACAGAGTGTTTTTGTAATCGCTCGGCTCTTGTTGGTCCCACCCCACCTCCTGCTAGTGCCCTGTGGTGACAGACCCCGCGGGCCGGGTGCCAGCGTAGAGCAGGGCTCGGCCACAGCCGGCGGTGCTGGCTGAGCTCCCTGCCCCAAACCTGCCGGCTGGAGCCACCAGCCCTCGCACTGTCCCCGAGGACAGTGAGCCAGGACCTGCAGACCAGTGCTCCGGGCCAGCTCAACCCAGCACTGCTGGTATCTGGGGGCAGGACACAGGGCCCCACGCTGCCTGGGGGTGCCACGGGGTCTCAGGACAGTGGCTGCAGTAATGACCTTGGAGATATCTCTTGGGTTCTCCAGCAGTGGCTTGCAGAGAGGAAGCGTGGCCAGAAGCTGGGCTGCATCCGTATGAGAAGATGATGATTTCCCATATTCTGGTCTGGTCTAAATCAGCCCTGACAGATAATTTTGCAAAATAAACTAATTTGGAGCGGATAGATCTTGCGTGGGTTCTTGCATCGCTCCCTGTGTGCTGGCAGCAGAGCAGGGTCACGGCACGGTCAGCGGTGAGGGCCCCTGGGCTGGAGCTGGGAGGCCAGACTGGGGCTGTGGGGGAGCAAAAGGGGCTGTGGTGCCCGCTCTGTCCCTGCGCCGGGCACTGCCAGCCCTGCTGTCCCCAGCCAAGGTGTCCTGCCAGAGCTCCAGGCTCCAGCCTGCAGGCATGGCCGGCTCCTGGCACTGGCTCCTGGCAGGTGCTCCCAGCTCTGCTGCTGGTGCCGGTGCCACAGGGTGCCCCCCACCACCCTGCCAGGTGGGCATCTTCTGGCCAGTGGCAGAACATGGGGCCCTGCTGAGCCCACAGTCCCCCCAGCACCCTTGCACCCTTGTTCGGCTGCTGTTGCCCAAGCCTAGTGGGCAACGGGCCTGTGATATGGCTACAGCCCTCATCCCCTGCCTCAGCACTGCCTTTGTTTGTGCCCGTGTCCCTGTGCACATCTGCATGTCCATGCCCGTGGCCACGCGCGGGTCTGTGCCCACCAGCATGTCCCTGCCTGGCTCTGGGCCATCCCACTGAGCACCAGTGTCCCATCCTGGGCACCCACTGGGACATGGACAATACAAAACTGTTGACACACTGGAGGGCTGTGCTGCCCTACAAGAGACACCTGGACAGGCTGGAGAGTTGGGCAGAGAGGAACCTGATGAACTTCAATGAAGGCAAGTGTAGGGTGCTGCACCTGGGGAGAAATAATCCCCTGTACCATTGGCCTTCTTGGCCGCAAGGACACACTGCTGGCTCATGGTCATCCTATTATCCTCCAGGACTCTTAGGTCTTTCTCCTCAGAGCTGCCCTCCAGCTCCCCTGCCCAAATTTCAGACCATTTCCTCTGGCCCTGTCATAATTCCCTTGGGAGAAGAGGCCAACCCCCACCTCTCTCCACCCTCCTTTCAGGGAGCTGTAGAGGGCAATGAGGTCTCCCCTCAGCCTCCTCTTCTCCAAACTAAACATGCCCAGTTCCCTCAGCCTCTCCTCGTAGGACTTGTTCTCCAGACCCCTCCCCAGCTTGGTGGCTCTCCTCTGGACACGCTCCAGCCCCTCAATGTCCTTCCTGTAGTGAGGGGCCCAGAACTGAACCCAGCCCTGGAGGTGAGGCCTCACCAGTGCCCAGTCCAGAGGCACCATCACTGCCCTGCTCCTGCTGGCCACGCTGGTCCTGACACAGGCCAGGATGCTGTTGGCCTTCTTGGCCACCCGGGCACACTGCTGGCTCCTGTTCAGCCGACATGGGTCACCCCCAGGTCCTTTTCTGCTGGGCAGCTCCAGCCACTCTGCCCCCAGCCTGGAGCGTCCATGGGGTTGTTGTTACCGAAATGCAGGACCCAGCATTTGGCCCTATTAAACCTTGTTCCATGGGTCTTGGCCCATCGATCCAACCTGTCCAGGTCCCCCTGTAGAGCCCTCTGACCCTCAACCAGATCAACACTCCCACCTAGTTTGGTGTCATCTGCATTCCTGGGTGAAGTCAGGTGCTGGGGGCTGCAGGGGGGGCTTTCCCCTCCCGTGCCATGCTGGACGGGGCCATTTTCTGGTTTGAGAAAAGGCAGTAAAAAGCAGTGGTGGCTTTTCCACCGAGAGGCTGGGTGCCCAGCCCTGCACACAGCTGCCCGTGGTTTGCCCTGCAGTTTCCACCCCAGCGGCATCACGGCTTGTGCTCCTTCCCGGCCGTGGGTCTTCCTTGGTGGCTCCAGCCTGAAGGAGCCTGAAGCTGCTCCGGTGCCAGTGGCAGTGCCACCGTACGGGCAGGGAGGCAGGGCTGGCTCCCACTTCATTTTCTTGCGTGCTGTAGTGCTGGGGGCAGACTCAGGCAGGACATCCCCCCCAGAGAAAGTACAGCCAGGGCTTGGTTTGTGGTCTCCCTGTTGCCATCCCCCCTGGATTTAAAGAGCTGTTGGCTCCAGCTGCGTTTGGCCCGAGCCACGCTGAGGGGGCAGGCCATTGGGGCAGCGCTGCAGTGGAGGCCCAGCTGCGGCCACCGGCCACCGATGACACACTGTGGCCATGGGCCATGCTGGGGATGCTGCACCGCGGGACAGGCTGCGATGGTGCAGGGAGCTGGTGGTTCTTGGTGGCTCCAGCCGGTCCCCTGGGGCTTTCATGACCCCCCACACTGCTGCGTGTCCAGCACAGACCCCAGCTGCCTTGGGGGGACACGGGGCTTTCCTGGGGAGGCGCAGGGCTTTCCCTGCATAGAATCAGAGAATGGTTAGAGTTGGAAGGGACCTTAAAGATCATCGAGTTCCAACCCCCCTGCCCTGGGCAGAGACACCTCCCACCAGACCAGGTTGCTCCAAGCCCCATCCAGCCTGGCCTTGAACCCTCCAGGGATGGGGCAGCCACAACTTCTCTGGGCAACCTGTTCCAGTGCTTCACCACCCTCACATACAGCTGTCTGTTGAGAAAAAGTCCCCGGGGGGGCTTCTGAGGAGCCCTTGTGGGCATCCAGGCTTGGGGCAGGATGGAGACAGAGGTGTGAGCTGCTGGAGGGAGAGCTGGTGCTGCAGAGCCTGCCCCTGCACAGCTCCCTTGCCGGACCAAGGGTGGCCCTGGCATGTGCAGATGTAGCAGCAGATTAAATTCTAAATTGGGTACAATGATCCTTCTGGGAGTTAAAATAGGCTGGCTGGTCCACACAGCTCTGTGAGGCCAAATACTTCAACCTGAGGAGTTAATGTGCCTTCTGTGTGAGCAGCAGAAGTAGGGAGGTGATTGTCCCCCTGGACTCAGCACTGGGGAGGCCACACCTCGAGTATTGTGTCCAGTTTTGGGCACCTCAATCCAGGAGAGATCTGGAGGTGCTAGAGCGGGTGCAGAGGAGGGCAACGAAGCTGGTGAAGGGCCTGGAGAATAGATTGTACGAAGAGCGATTGAGGGAGCTGGGACTGTTTAGTTTGAGGAGGAGAAGGCTGAGGGGAGACCTCATCACTCTCTGCAACTACCTGAGAGAACATTGTAGAGAGGTTGGTGCTGGTCTCTTCTCACAGGTAATTAGCAATAGAACGAGAGGGAATGGCTTCAAGCTGCAACAGAGTAGGTTTCGACTGGACATTAGGAAAGAGTTTTTCACTGAAAGAGTGGTCAGACACTGGAATAGGCTGCCCAGGGAGGTGGTTGAGTCGCCATGCCTGGATGTGTTTAAGAGCCATTTAGATGTGGTGTTGGGGAATATGGTGGAGAGGAGAACTTTATGGAGTGGGGTAGATGGTTGGACTTGATGATTCCAAGGGTCTTTTCCAACCTGAATGATTCTATGATTCTTCTTCCCTCTAGGACCAGCGAGTGGGTACTGTCAGATCCTGCTCCCCGCAGGTGACCAGCCGGGGGAGTGGAGCCGTGGCAGCTGCCGGGTGGGACACATCCATCAGTGCTGTTCCAGCCCTGGAATCTGGGGAATCCACCCCGGGGCAGACAGGGTTACTGGCGCAACAGAGCAAACTCATCAGCTCGTGATATTTCTGCAGCAGCGCTGTGTTGTGCTGCAGGGCCTCACCGTCCAGAAGAGCTCCTGGAGATCAAAGCCAGCACCGGGGGAAGATTTCTATCGCTCTTTACTCACCCGGCTCCAGGCAGGTCCCAACCCTTCTGCTTTCTGCGGTAACAGCTTAAGCATGCACGACCCCGTGGCTGGCAGGAGGCTGCCTGCACCCGATAATCCTCCCGGCCCCAAGCCGCGGCAGGTGGCTGGGTCTCTAATCGTGCTGGATTAATGCTCTCCTTGCTCTGCCGTTGCAGGTCTGGCACGGTGACTGCCTGCCAGGTGCTTGCTCTTCTCTTGCTCTCCTTCCTTCCCAGCGCTGCAGCTGGTGACCTGATTCCTGCTCTTGTTCCCAGTTCCAGGCTGCAACCAGCCACAGGGTGGTTCTTGTCCCAACCCATCCCAGAGCTGACCACAGGCTGCAACACTGCCAGCACCCGGGGGAAAGCCACCCTGCTCCCCTGGGACCTCCAGGAGAGCCTCTCTTACCAGACAGCGTACCCCAATGGAGGAAGCGAGCCCCCAGGCGAGTGGTGGGAGAGGGGACGATGGAGGCAGTATGTGCGATGCAAGCGGCAGATTTATGTTGCAAACAGGCATTTTTCCATCAGTGGGAGCCCCTTCCTGATGAACTACCCCTGCTCTGCCACCATCATCTACCTTGACTTCAGCAAGGCTTTTGACACTGTCTCTCATAACATCCTCATTAGGAAATTAGGGAAGTGTGGGCTGGATGAGTGATGGATGACAGTGAGGTGGATTGGGTCCTGGCTGTGTGACAGAGCTCAGAGGGTTGTGATTAATGGAACAGGGTCAAGTTGGAGGCCCGTAACCAGTGGTGTCCCCCAGGGGTCAATACTTGGTCCAGTTTTGTTTAACATATTCATCAATGGCCTGGACGAGGGCATGGAATGTATCCTCAGCAGGTTTGTTAACAATACCAAACTGGGAGGACTGGCCGACACTGCAGAGGGCTGTGCCACCATCCAGC